TACTTTGTTCTAGACAAGATATTTGAAAGTACATATAGATATGGGACAAAAGAAATGTATTCCTACCAAGATTCTTTGTCAGTTTGATGTGATTTCTTAGAACTTAGCAGCAAAAAGAAAAGTGTTTGGCATATTCATGGTTCAGAAGCATCCATCGATCTCTCTTCTTCCTCTCCTTTAATGGTATTGAGCATTCGAGCAATTTGCTTCATGCCAGGCCTAGCCTCTGGTGAACGATCAACACATTTCACAGCTATTTGTAACAAGTTCACCATTCTCTCTTCACTTGCACCTTCTTGAATTAGGGCTTTGTCAAACACTTCCACAGTCCATTCTTCTCTAACCACAGAGACAACCCATCTAGCCAAATCCATCCCATTGTTCTGCACCATCTTCCCTGTAAGTAGCTCCAGAAGGATTACTCCGAAACCATAAATGTCTGCTTTGAAGCCACCGTCTTCTGTTTCTTCTTTAGCTTGAAAACCATTGACACTGAGGCTTTGATTGCCCACCACCATTAGACCATACTCACTGATGCAGGGCTCCATGTTTTTGTTTAGTAAGATGTTTGAGGATTTCAGGTTTCCATGAGCAATCCCATCGTTATGAAGCTGTTGGTGCATGAAAGCTAAGGCCTCGGCAATGGTTGCTGCAATACTAAGTCTGCTGCTCCAGTCAAAGGCCTTGCCCCTTTGGGTTCCTGAAATTTATACAACACCCTTATATTCATTCCTTCAGAATAACATAATGATTATATAATGATAAGGGTCTGTTGTGACTGCCTTCTTCTCATAGTAATGGCTTGATGCCTTTTAAGGGCTCGTGTTCTTTTGAACTCTTCTTCTAAATTTTAGGTCTTTCTAATATTCCCCAGATATAGTTTAGAGTTTAAGTTAAATTTGAGTCATAATTAAGTTAAATTTTTCAGGGGTAAGATTGCATGGATCCAACCCAGTCCAGATCTCGCAATGATATAAGTCTCGTACAATAGTCTGGTATTAATCAAGCAGAAGTATGCTCACTAAATTTCTCTAGTCCTACAATCCCAAAAAGTATACACCTTTTTAACATGTATAAATGAAAACTTGGCTTCTACAGACTAAGAATGGAACTGGGAATAGAAGTTTCAAGTTACCATGGAGAAGCTTGGAGAGACTTCCATTCTTCTGATACTCATAGACAAAAAGCTTCTCTTGCCTGGAGCAATAAAATGCAATTGCTGGCAATACATTTGGATGCTTCACTTGATCTAGCCTCTGCATCCTCCGCATGAAATCATTGCCCGACATAATCCAACCCTGAATCCTCTTGACAGCCAGAGGCATGGCTTGATCCTCACATATGACCTTATACAAACTTCCATGCCTTCCTCTCCCAAGTAACTCTGCAGGGGCCTTAAACAAATTCTCAAATCTTAGTTCATTCACATCTGAACAAGGTAGAACTACCAGAGATGATGAAAACACCCCACTTTCACCCGAGACATCAGAGATTTCGGATTTGATCTCATCTAATTTATCATCTTTTGAATTGAAATTAGGCTTTTTGAAACCACCATCAACTGCTGCGACATTGTTAACTGCTTCAATCTTCTCTTCTTTTATTTTTTCTCTTTTGCGAAGCAGTCTGAGAATGATGAGAATGAGCAAAGCCAAACCTAGAAGAAAATAGCCTGAGAACATAAGAATTTGATTTCTCGAGATGCCACCATTCGATTTTTGTGTTCCTGGGGCTGAGGGCAATGCTGAGGCTGCGAGTGGTATTGGGCAATTTGGCAATGGGTCACCACACAATTCAGGATTGTTGATGTAGCTGCTCACAGGAAAACGTGCACCTCCCCGGGGAATAGGACCTTTGAAATGATTATAGGAGACATTAAATACCCCAAAATTGGCAAAATCAAAGTTGGGTATAGCACCAGAGAGCTGATTATTTTGAGCAAGAAACTCTGTCAAACCCGATAGTCTGGCCAAATCAGGCAAGCTTCCAGAAAAATTGTTGTTTGATATATAAAGTCTTTTCAGATTAATCAATCTGGGAAGAGAGTTCGGGAGGCTGCCAGAAAATTGGTTTCCCCTTATGTACAAGATTTCGAGTTGTCTGCAATTTTCAATCTCCTCCAGGTTCTCTCCTCGGATATTGTTATCATTGAGACTTACAACAGTGAGAGATGCAACAAGAGATTTCGCGGTGCAAAGAGTGGCAGCATCAAAAGTTCCGGAAAAATTCAAGCCATCAAGAAAGATTTTCTTCACTGAAAGAGCCCTTTTATCGCAGATTATACCCTTCCACCGATCCTTGCAAGGATCAGAGGTTAAATTCCAACCCGTAATGGAATCCAATGGCCCATTGTTATTCGACAATTTAGTGAAAAAACTCAGCAACGAGTGTTTAACCTCTTCTTCCTCAGACTTTGTTGAATGTAAGAGGAGAAACAACGATATGAGAAATACCCAGATTGGAATTTGATTCATTTTCGACGATACAAACATTATTGCAACAACAGTGTTTGAAGTTTGGTTCGTCTGAGGAAGTTAAAAGAATTGAAACTATGGTTAGAGATTGTGGGATGAGGAGGAAAACCCAATGTTCAGATGATAGTTTTTGTTTGATATAATGCCAATCGGAGGACATCACAATGTGAATTTGGATTTTATGCCTTTGATTGCCGCTGGTGAATCAAGAAAAACAAGCCATTTTGGATCAAACAAATAACAAACTGCTATAGTGCCGGCGACTAGAAACTGTGGTAACTGTATTGCCATGTCCTTTTCAACAGGATTATTAAAGCAACTTGAACTCCATCATGCCAGTACTGCTCTTTCTGGCTGACACAGTCCAGTTGAAAATTTCAAATTGGCCTCAGTGTCTGTTTGAACATTTCCATCTTGTTTTCGTTTTTTGTTATTGTTTTTTTCTTGATCGAGTACTACCCATCCCATCCCATCTCTTGATTCTTCCTTCTCTGTCTCTATCCTGCTGCAACTTTTCAAGCACCAAACAAAGTATTTCTACATTACAATGAATTCATTCTTTACCTCCAATGGCTTTGAAAGTTTCACAAGCTATATTATACCATGTGATATCGTGTGGCGACATGGAGGCGAAAAGAGGAAAGAGAAAACTAGAAAAAAAAACTTGACATCCGACAAACACACAGACTCAAAACCTGGAATCGGCAATAAGTGTTTTCAATGTTGACGATACCAGAAAAATATGTAGCTTAGACTAAAAGACAAGTCAGGTCAGCACATGCCAAGCAAGCGAGTGCTTGAGAGTCAGTGAGGCACCAACTATCCAGGTTGGCTATATGACAAAAGATATGATCAAAGAGGATTTTTCCCATCTAATCCTATCTAAGCAAGAAGTCACCATCTCTCAAAAGTCACGTCATTACTTCTAAAATATCACTTTACACTTGTGAATAAGAATCTCTTACAGTCAAATATTTCTCAAATATTTTCTAATAATTCTGTTACCATAATAATGNCAAGAAGTCACCATCTCTCAAAAGTCACGTCATTACTTCTAAAATATCACTTTACACCTGTGAATAAGAATCTCTTATAGTCAAATATTTCTCAAATATTTTCTGATAATTCTGTTACCATAATAATAGTTACCTATGTATAAAAGGCCAGTCTATTCACCGGCTAAGGGAGATCGAAAAAATATCCAATACGCGCACCAAGCACAATAGTGCACTCTACTGTACTCATTTTCTTCCTCAAGAAATACACCACCAAGGAACAACTACATTACAGTGGACTAACTCATCTCTTCAGCTAGGCGAACCCCCTTAATTTTATGTGCATTCTTTACTTGCTTTAGCATACACTACACACCTCATCTAGGGTTCATTTTTTNCAAGAAATACACCACCAAGGAACAACTACATTACAGTGGACTAACTCATCTCTTCAGTTGGGCGACCCCCTTAATTTTATGTGCATTCTTTACTTGCTTTAGCATACACTACACACCTCATCTAGGGTTCATTTTTTATGGGATCTAGAGTTCATTCAACTCACCCACCTCATGCTTCTCGGATTTCAACACCATCAAATGTCATTTTTAATGTTCAAAAGCATTTTATCGGAGCGGGACATTTGAAAAAGGCGGTCTATTACCCGCCATTTCGACTAATGTAGATGTAAAGAGGGTCAAGTGTACGCAATCTAACCCATAGGTGAAAAGGGAATCTCTGCTACAGCAGGAGACACTTAAAGAACCGGCCAAAAATGTCGGCCGATGCAAATGGGGATGTTTAAATCATTTCTGAAAACATAATGTCGGGCTGCAGAAACGTACCCTTTTACNAGAGGGTCAAGTGTACGCAATCTAACCCATAGGTGAAAAGGGAATCTCTGCTACAGCTGGAGACACTTAAAGAACCGGCCAAAAATGTCGGCCGATGCAAATGGGGATGTTTAAATCATTTCTGAATACATAATGTCGGGCTGCAGAAACGTACCCTTTTATGCAAGTTATTAGTCTCGAGGACGACAGAGTATGCACCACCATATTCACCACCTTAGGAGCTGTATTTCGTCTGGCATTGTGTTTCAGGGAGGAAGAAAACCGAGTGCAGGAACAGGGAAGGGGTTGAGTCCGAGGAGAGGTGTGGGAGAAGATTCTTCACATAGAATCCACTTGTGTCTGAAGACATTCATTTAGGCCAAATTGAAATGTTGCCTGATTTAACATTTTGGCACATAGATTTTCAATGTATATAAATTCCGGATTTAAACATTTCGAGTAAGTTATTTACAAGAAACCACATTCTTTCGCACAGAGCTCGTCTACAAATCAAGTTATATCCAATGACATCATAGTACAATGTGACACATTGAAATGGCCTCCCCAAGCATATAGATAAAAAAGAGCATATAAACTTTGACATGCTTACGCTCGGAGAATAGTTCTAATAATATGCACCAGCATTAGCACAAAGGAACCAGAGAAGTCAAGGGAAGTGCAAACACCTTGAATTTTACACAAAATAAGGGACAAGTTTCTTGCACACAAAGATAGGCATTGTATCGTATCATCTGCTAGCCATATGTAGCAATCAATTAATTGTTCCATTTGTACAAGATTAATTCCTTGCACGCACAAGATTCTAAAATTTGTGATTCTCAGCAGCAAATGCTCTGCCAAACCAGTGTTCTACATTTTTCAACTAAGAACAGGCACAGCCCTGCTTTATTGAAAAAAACAATAGTGATCTCCTGAACATCACATTGTAATATCCATACCATTCATAACTTAAAGATGTTTCTCCTACACAAAAACATAACATTTCACTTCCCCCACTTTCCAAAGTATATCTTTGAGGTACAAAGGAGAGGACAGAGTAGATGCTTGGCTGTCACACTGCACCATCAGGAACCATCACAATTTATCCCCATAGTAATAAGCAGTGCCAACCATTAGTGCAACAGTAGCACCTTGGGCAACCACACGAGCTCTCATCAGCTTCTGACCCAAATGCGAATTCCCCGTTTTGAAACTAATTAGTCCAGCTGTGAGCACTCCTGCAGTCATGAATGCACCTACCAGACACAAAAAAAAAAAGAACGATATATATATATATATATGACATGGAGAATAAATACAAACCTAATTCCAGTTAAACAATTTAATTACGCCATGTCAATGACAGAAGCAATCTCATAAATTAAGCTTCATCATGATAGGCATCTGGTACTAAAATAGTCACAAGGTCTTCTGTTGATTACAGATACAAATTCAAATACATAAATATGTTTGGACGGGGAAAAAATAAATTAGAAGTGCCTCCCTTTGTTTTCCTCTCTCCCTTTCTAAATGCAACACAGCAATAAATTAAGAGAATGAAATGGTTTACCCCTCTTCTACATTACCAAAAAAGAAAAGGAAAAGAGGAGAGAAAGAAAGGGGGGGCGGACTAAGCTCCATGGAAAGGGGAAAAATTAAAACCACCTGAAGAATCAATGGAAAATATCACAGGAAAAATCTAACAAATAAAACAAAAAAAAAAAATAGTTACATCCTACTCAAGTCCAAAAAATAAAGAACCCAACCAAAAAAAAAACCTAATTTCTGCAATGCGAACTCCACTTTTTTTTACTGTCCTTCCATTGCCCTCTTTCCAGATAGCCCACGAGCATAAAAGTTCTGCTGCTCACCCCTGTCTCACATTCATATAAAAATAGCCACTTACTACTAGCTCCTTATGATCTCAATCAGAGAGAAATTTGAATTTCGTCTNTCACATTCATATAAAAATAGCCACTTACTACTAGCTCCTTATGATCTCAATCAGAGACAAAATTGAATTTCGTCCNAGTTCTGCTGCTCACCCCTGTCTCACATTCATATAAAAATAGCCACTTACTACTAGCTCCTTATGATCTCAATCAGAGAGAAATTTGAATTTCGTCTAGACTACATTATTACCGCTATCATCGCTGCCTTCACCACAACACAAAACAGATACCTCCTCTATACTTCCACCCAAGATCAACACACAGTACCAACTTCAATGCACCAATGCTCTATCAACCCTATCGACTACCACCATTGCCACACCACAACTGCACACCAATGCAACCATCAAAATTATATATGAACCATGTCCATCCATTATGTCCGAATCTGTGCCTCTTGTGTATTCTCCAATGACCTCCACTCTCACCACCACAATGACTCCAATTCTACCTACCCTGGTGCTATAATTGGTGAATTTTCAATTGAGTTACCATGTAATTCAGGATAATCAACAAACAACAGTATGTTCCATTCTACAAATTTCAAAATTCAGAGGAATTTCTTACATCAAACTTATCCCACACCCTCTCATCCATGATCCATGTGCATTTTAACATTCCAACCACTATGTAATGTCCCTAGGTTGCCTTTGAAAGTGGTGTTTTCATATGTATAGAAATGACAGAATATTTTGACAATAAAAATCTGAGAATAAAAAAAAAACAGATGAATTGGGGTTGCATGTGCAAAATGAGTATTTTGAACAAAATTAGCTTTACTGTTAGGTGGGTAGAAAGCTCAAAGGCATCTTATTCTCAGCTTTCAAAGCTCAAACAGCCATGCTAAGGATATCACATGACTTGCAATGCAGTAAAAAGTAAAGGGCGTGTTTGATGGGATGAGAGGGAGGCTTTGTATTGGCAAGAATGAGAAAGAAGGTCTTTTGAAAATTTTAATGCCCAGTATGCCATACTTCGCAAAACATTATCCCTTGAATCTGTTCAGTGCATTCTTGTTTAGATCAGACGAATGGCAATGCTTTCATTTTTGAGTGTGTATATGGATGGTGTCTCATTTTCTGGGCATCATTGATGTATCAAAATTACTGACAATACGCAGTTACATAGAAATTAGGACTCCTAAAGTAGTCAATTCTGCTAAATTTTCCGATGAGCTCTTCTCCAACAAATCCCAATCACCTCGTTGAACCAAAATGCTACTCCTTTTTTGAAACCAAGCAAAGTAATATCCCCATGAAATACTAGTATCCTTGAAGAAAACTTCTGTTCGGATAATTACAATGCTGAAATGTTCTAGTAACGAAAAGTACTCGCATAAAAGGACATGAAGAATCAACAAAATTGTAAATGTATCCTACATCTATACAAATCAAGTCAGGACATGCCCTTAACATTCTAATCAGAATCTACAAGACTGATGAACAAACGATATTTATGAATCCCGCACAAAGAATTAGGGATTGAAGAGTTGTGTACCAATGGGGACGAGAGGATTTCTGATGCGCTTCTTCTCCCCAAACAAAACTTCCAATTCGGATTCGGCGGTTCCCATCTTTTCCATATGTTTTCGAATCAACGCTCCGCCGAAATACACCAATTTATCGCCGGAACAAGCAAGAACGTTTCTCTCCCTCTCTCTCCGCCCCGAGCTCGACACCTGTGGCCTTCTAACCGGTGACGCGATTACATATTTAGTCCCACACATATCTCTTCTGGAATTGCACTTATAACCCTTTATTTTAACGTAATTAATTTCTTAGCAGCATGCCAATTTTTTAACTTTTTTTTTATTCCACAAAAAGAAAACCTTCTTTTTTTATTTTAAGGTAAAGTACTTACAAATTTTCAATCACGGATAAAAATAAATAAAAATAAAATGAAGAGAATTCCATGAAGCAATTTTTTGTGATTTCTTTCTTTTTTTGTCTAGATTTATTCACTTTTCAAGAGTATTTCTTATATAATGAGATGTATATAAAACACTTTGATAAAATAGTAATAAAATAAATTTTGATTTATTTGGATAATTGTTTTACTTAAAATATTTTACAAACATCTATACAATAAAATAAGTAAAAAAATTTATTTTTAACTTTTCGCGATTCAAATTGCTTGATGATTATTGATCTAACAATCTTAGTGTAAAATTTTTTTAAAACTCTTATCTCTTATCTAATTCTCTCTCCCCTATCTCATACTAGCACAACTCTCGCTCCCTCTATCTCATACTTTCTTTCTTATCTTTCACACGTTTTAAACACAAATTCTCTTATTTATTGAACGGTAACATATATCTAATATTAACAAAATATATCTAATATTCATTAAAACTCTAATAACAAAAATTATTTTTAACAAATTATTGGCTTATTAACATATGTCATGAGTCAGAAATTTTATTTATGGTGGGCACTTTAATTATACACTCTAATTTTTTTTCCTTAATCAATCACACTATATGATATATTTATATTGATTATATCATATTTGATACATAAAGTCTAGTTTATATAAAAAGGGAAAAAAATAATGTATATTAGATATGTATACAATATTGACTAATTATCAGAATTGTAAAAAAATGAACATAATTATCATTTTTATAATTAAAAAATATCAGTTATTCACTAATCATCCATTAAAATTATTCAATAACGATGTTCTAAACATTATCACTAAAAAATTAGCATAAAAAAACTATTACACAAAAATTCAAGAGATAAACATATTAAAAAATAAAATATGATTGACACATAATAAAAACTATAATCAATACTCACATAAAAAATAACATACATTTTTGTGGTAGAAAAAACAAAGTCAAATGAAGATCATTTGAAAAAACTTTCAATTGCAAAAATTTATCATAAAATGGAAGTCATTTGAAGAAAGTCTTATTATAATCAAAAATAAATAAATAATTGTAATAAGAAAATTATAGAGCAAGTACAAGTAAAAATGTGTAGAAATATATAATATATGAATATACATATCATATTTTCTTAAAAAAATTACCCCTGTGTAACTCTGTCCATGTATGTCATCATATATCTATTTATCTAGCTATATCTATATGATCTTAATTGAGTTTTCTTTCATTTTACAGCTCTCTCTTATCTCTCTTACATTTTAAACATACACTCTCATCTCTTGTATAACTTTTTTGTGTACATGTTGATATTTTTAAGGGTCGTATTTTTAGAGAAGTTATATCAAAATTTTTTAGAAAAATGTGTTTTCAAATTGATTTTAAATTGTGTAACTAAAGAAAATAATAAAAAATAAAAGTCCTGTTTAAAAATATTTATATTGCAAGACCCGTGCTCAAGATTTTTTAAGTTACTTAGTGCATTTGGGTTATTTCTAATTATTAAATAAACCTAACACCTACAAGTTTCCTATAAACTTAAAAACACTAAGATACCATTGACCCCGGTATCTAAGAATTTCTACCTACCACCTTTTCACATTGTTTAAGGAGCAACATCTATTGAGAGTAGATTGATGGTGTTAAGAGATTTCCAGAATAAGCAGTAGTTGAACCACCATAATAAAAAAACTAGCAAAAGAGCATCCCAGAGTCGGATTCAGACAAATAGACAGAATGACAAGCTTCATTACCATTTGAAAAATCCAATATTCATTTGCTAACAAAATCAACTAACAAAATCCATTAATAAATAAAGAAAATAATATTTTTGTTATATACTATTTGTTAAATAATTTTTTTTTCATTTTAAAATTCATGGTTGACATTAATCTAACTTATTTATTTTTTATATTAATTGATCATGTCTTTTCAAGTTTATACAAAAAAATAATCAATCATAATCTAGTAATCTATATAATAAAGTACAATACAATTCAAATCTCAAAAAATAAATAAAATTATNCTAACTTATTTATTTTTTATATTAATTGATCATGTCTTTTCAAGTTTATACAAAAAATTAATCAATCATAATCTAGTAATCTATATAATAAAATACAATACAATTCAAATCTCAAAAAATAAATAAAATTACTTTTATTTTTTGCGGTTGAAATCTCTTTAAATTTTATTTTAAGGTTAATCCAACGGCTAATATTAACACTTCAAATTTATTAGGGAAAATAAGCCCCTAAATGTGTGTTTTGATTGACTTTTTAAAAGTATTTCTATAATTTATAACTTTCTCATAAGTAATTTAAAAATAAATAGTATTTGGAACCATCCCACCCTCACCATTACCACCACCACCACCATCATCACCACTACGACCACCACTACCATTACAACCTCCGCCACCCCACCACCACAACTGTTGTCGTCATTACCTCCACCCCACCACTACCATCACCATCACCATTGTCGTCGCTAACCCTACCCCCACTTCTGTCACAAAAATACCACCACCCCTGTGACCATCATCGATACCATAATTATCGTCATCGCCCCCACGACCATCACCGATACCATAATTACTGTCATCGTTGCCACCATTGTTGTCACTGGCCTACCACCACACCTACCACACCCTTACTGTCCCACCACCACTCACCACCGACTGCTACCACCGTCGTCCATCGCCACTACCCACCATCGTCGTCATCTCATTCTTATATTTATTATCACTACCACAATCATCCTACTACCATTGTCGCCCCACCATCAGTACCACCACCACTATTATTGTCCACTGCCACTCATTATCACAACCTATCATTACCTATTATCACCCACCATTGTCGTCTGCCATTATGACCCAACCCCACCACATATACCATTACGACTCGTCATCGCTCACCACTGCCGCAACTACTTTGACCCAACCCCCACCATACCTACCACCGTCACCCGTCAACGCCTACCACTTCCATCAACCACTGTCACCCATCTCTACCACAATTACCACCACCACTTGTCACCGCCCACTATTACCGCCACCCATTGTCACCCACCCCCCATACTTACAACCATTGTCATTCACAACCAATCATCACACTGTCGTCCAGAAAGCACCCATTATCGCTTACCACCACCATCGTTGTTTCACCACACCCATTGTCAACCACCATCATTGTCGCCCACTACCACTTACACCCACCATTAACACCGCTGTCACCCATAGCTGGCACTACCACTATCATCACCCAAAATCCATCACCACCATTAACATTGTTATCCATGGCTACCACCATCACTGTAGTCATCGCCACCCACCACAACCATCACCATCTCTCACCACCACCATTATCGCTCATCACCACTACACCCCCATTATAATTGGTACTTCAATTATTTTTTCTCTCATCTACGTTTATAATTTGATTTTGAGTGTGAATACAAATATATTTATCGTTGATCATTTTTTTTATTATTTCGTGTCTTCAGACACGAGAAATAACTAATTTTATATAAGAGACATATTGCATATAGTCTTTAATTATTTCGAGTTCAAGAAAAAAATCGATATAAACCTGGACACCCTGTAACAAAAAAAAATATTTGTTGTTAAAAATTATTAATAATTTAAAGGGATTTTCACACTTTATACACCAAAAATGTCTCACTTTTTACTTTATATCTCATAATATTATTTTTTGCACATTGCTCCTGAATGTTTTAAATTAGTTTTAATATGACCCTCAGACTAACATTTATTTCAAATTTCTTTTAAAAATTGATGCATATGTCGCAAATGCGCGTTGTTCTTAGACAAAAATATAAACTTACCATTTATATTCTTGAGTGATATGTATATCAATTTTTAATGGGTTTCGAAACAGATGTTAGTTCGAGAACTATATTGAAATTAATTTATGATATTTAGGATACAACGAGAGAAACATAATTTTTGGAGTATAGAGTGAGAATTGGAATATCTCTCAGAATGCAAAAAACCAAATTATAACCGTACAAGTTTTTAAAGTTTCTAGTTGCAATTACAAAATTACATTCGATGAAGGATTGATTCTAGGCAACCCAAGAAACTATCATACGCCGTCGTTTCCTTATCTCCCTACTCGACGGTCTTGGCGGCAACAATAACCGAAGACGAATCGTTGATCAGCAAAGCAAATGGGTGTTCACGGCCTCTGGGAACTCCTCGCCCCCGTCGGCCGCCGCGTCTCTGTCGAAACCCTTACCGGGAAAAAACTGGCAATCGGTCCACTCTCTTTCCAAATCCTAACCTAACTAAAGAGAAGTGTGGTCAACTAGTTCTCATGATTTCATCTGATATGTGTTTTATGTTTTGTAGATGCAAGTATATGGATGATACAGTTCATGAAGGCGATGAGAGACGATAAGGGAGAGATGGTTCGGAATGCTCACATATTGGGCTTCTTCCGTCGAATTTGCAAGTTACTCTTCCTACGGACCAAACCGGTCTTCGTCTTCGATGGTGCCACGCCCGCTCTCAAGCGCCGTACGGTCATTGCTCGTCGCCGACAGCGCGAAAATGCCCAGGCCAAAATTCGGAAAACCGCAGAGAAATTGCTCCTCAATCACGTTAGTTTCCTAAAAAATTCCTACCCGCTTGTCGATCTTTTGTTGTAAGTGAATTGTTTAGTTGGACAGTGTTTGGTTGATTTCTTGTTCGAGCATTTAGATTGAACTACTTTTGTAAGATTTAGTTGGGGTTTGAGCCTAAAAGTTAGTAATTTTTAAGATTTGATGTAGAAAATGTAGGTAAGTAAAAGGTAGTGGACCTCTGGATTGTAATTTTTTTAAATAGGAAACGTCATTCTGTTAATAAGAATAAAACGTTACATAAAATGCGCAAAGGTGGACAAGAAATCCAACACTATTACATGCAAAATAAGAAAAGCCCAAAAGATCAAACCACCAAAAGCAATATACCTCACAAAACATGCCATATCCCCTATTAAATGCAAACTTTGGCAGTTTATGATTTAAGAAATAGAAAGACTACACTAAGTTGAGCTTAATACAACGATTTTCAGCCTAGTTCAGGTGAATAATTCCATCAGTGGATGCCAATTGGGAGTAAAATTCAGGTGAATAAAATTCAAATTTTAGCATTCTTTTGGTTTGATCAATATATGTGCAACCCAATTAGAAAATGAGTTCATTATTTCAAGTTTTGTAGCCAGTTAAAGGTCCTTAATTCAATTAATTTGCACGATATGGATTTCAGTACCTTTTTGTTTTTGTTGTTTGACAATAGCTGAAGGCAATGAGATTGAAAGAGTTAGCCAAGGATCTTGAGAACCAGAAACTGAAGAATGATGCTACGGGTAAAAACGTTGTTAATGAACAAAGGGACGTCGCAGGCAATACTTTGGAAGGAAATGATATGGCATCAGGAAGTTATGATCCGAAAACACCAAACGAACTGTAAGTTTTATTCTAGATTGTTTTATTATCCAATTAAGGATGTTAGATTTTTCTGATTTGTGTTTTTGAAGAATTGATTAAAGATTAGCAGCATCCCTTGCGGCTGAGGAATATGAGACATTTACTGGTAATGCATCAACACCTGGTGGTGGGGTTCCTGCTGAAGAAGAGGATGGCAGTGAAGATGAAGAGATGATACTGGTAAGTAACTGGTAGGGTGACAATCTACAACGGGAAGTTTGATCACAAAGGGGCAGACAACACAAATTTCCAGGGATCACAATATTGTAAATGATTGACATGATCTCTTGTGTTAATAGGGTTTAATATGATGCAAGGCATCTGGTAACACATATTAAGTATAAAAGTAATTTATTCCATCGGATATTTTGGTGTCTCAGAGCGTGTCTTCCCTGTTTGTATGATCTAGTCCCAATCATGATATCAGACATCTTAAGAAAGTGTCATTTCTTCAATACATATGTTACAATTTCTTACAGTTACTTTTCATCATCTTTTGAATAGGATGTTACTGTTCATTATGCCTATAAACTCATTTTTTTTTGTTCTGAATTAAGTTTGTTGCCTCCAGCATGCTGTTTCCTGAGGCTAGACAATGGTTGAGATTAGAGCCATTTCTTACTGGTTAGTTCGATTGAAATACGTAGTTGTTTTTTGTAGCCAATGATGCATGGAAAAGTTGATCCTGCTGTTCTAGCTGCTTTACCGCCATCTATGCAACTTGATCTTCTTGTCCAGGTAATTGTATCAATGGTTTTGGAGTTTGGAGGATGAAATTTCGCTTTTTGGAACCCTCCCACCTTATTTCAAACTTAAAAATTATTATACTCATGTGAGGGATATATCTCCTGTTTTGTAGATGAGAGAGAGATTAATGGCAGAGAACAGACAAAAGTATCAAAAAGTCAAGAAGGTAGGATCTTGAAGATTTTAATATAAATTTTTACAGAGTTACATTCCATTGTTATGTTGTTCTCGGTCATGACTCCTTTGCAATCTCTCCAATGATTTATTTGTCACCTCATCTTAAACATGACAATGAATGTGTAGTTTCTAATTTGTTTGTGAAATCTATACCTGGTTGCAAATCTGGATTCAATTATGTAATTAATTGTGCATGATTTGACGAACATCTTAAGTACGAGATATTTTGAATTCTGCAAATTTATATTTGTGCACGAACTCCCTGGAAGAGCTTGTGGGAACTGTGGCTTTCATGTGTTGCCTATCATAGCAATGAATACTTCGTTTTTATTGTGTCTCTATTGGATTGCTGCTAATCATACCTTGTACTGTTTGATAAAGGTGCAAATAACTCTTGTCTTTTCTTGGTCATCTAGGCCCCTGCAAGATTTTCAGAATTACAAATACAAGCTTATCTTAAAACTGTTGCTTTCCGTCGAGAGATAGATGAAGTGCAAAAATCTGCTGCTGGGAGGGGAATAGGTGGTGTACAGACTTCACGGATAGCCTCTGAAGCCAATAGAGAATTTATTTTCTCATCGTCTTTTACTGGGGACAAACAGTGAGTAAAAGCAAATCTTCAATGTTTCTGAAACTTTCCTTTTCTCTTCTCCTTCTGCTTCTTTAGCACCTCTCATTCTGCTTGAGGTAAATGACTTTAATTGCTCAACTACATGCTTAAATTTATTAGAGTTCTTACATCTTCTGGAGTGGAGAAAAATGGCAATGAGCAATGTCAGACGTCAGTGTCGCATCCTTCATCAGATTCTCTGGGGGGTGTTGCATTTGGTAAGATGCCCAATGCTGGCACTGAGTCAGTAGGGGATGAACCTGTAGGGGTGTTTGATGGTGATGTTGAAACATATCTGGATGAGAGGGGTCGTGTTCGAGTCAGTAAAGTGCGAGCTATGGGAATCTGCATGACTCGAGATTTACAACGGAATTTGGATTTGATGAAAGAGATTGAGCAGGAGAGAATAGGCACAAAAAAAAATGCAAATGATGAATGCGCCCTTGATAATGATATAGCTGGTGTCCCCAAAAAATTCCCCAGTAAAATGCATCTTTTGGAAACTTCATATTTGGTAAATGATGGAGCGGTTCACTTAAGCCGCAGAAATGATGTGTCAACATCTGGAAATGGAACTTCGATGGAGATATCTTTTGAAGATGAGAGTCAGCGGAAATGTGTTGATGGCGATGATGAATTGTTTGCACGCTTAGTGGCAGGAGAACCTGTGATGAATTTTTCTGCTGATACACCCTTAAGGAAACAATCTCCCGAGTCTACTTCAGATTGTGAATGGGAGGAAGGGATCATCGAAGAGAAAGTTGATACTATAACTCACGGTGACAGTGTGGAAAGTAGACCATCCCTTGTAGATGGCGACGGTAGTAACGAGAGTGAAGTGGAATGGGAGGATGGATTTTATGATATTCCTAAAAATGCTTCCCCATGTCCAGATGAATACGGGAAAACTGTCTCCAAAGGTGCTTTGGAAGAAGAAGCTGATTTTCAGGAAGCAATTAGGAGAAGTCTTGGGGATTTGAAGGGTCAGAAATACATTGAAACATCATTTGATGATGAGACTTATAAAGACGCCAAAGAAATAGCTAGTGAGGTTACAAATGTTGGGTTTGCTTATCAAGAAAAGGATAGGGCTGAGCCAAACGAATTCCTAGAGAATGTTTGCGAACCAAATGATACATCTTGTAAAGTGATGGCTGGATTTGAAAGGATGGACATTGTGTGTGGAATAAACATTTCAAAACCTGATGATTCTTCAGGGGCCCAGTTGGCACCATGCACAGGGGTTTCTGATAACATGGAAGTGGTGATCAAAAAACCATTTGACAGTTCCTCAATGTGCCACCCTGAATTTCCAAGGCAAAATGCAAGTGGAAGTGAGGATTCCCATAGAGTAAATGAACAAGTTGGATCAGCTATTCCAATTGAAGAAAAGATGCTTGACTCGATTGGGGAGCAACTTGTGGATTCTTCAAGCAGAGCTAGCATGGTGTCTTATAATAGAAGTTTTTCAGGAACTTCTCAGAAGTCTAATTCTGATGTCATTCTTACTGATACTCAACAATTAGAGTTTGAAGCTGCAGTTAATGACTATATGAGTGAGACAACAGAGCACAGAGAATCTTCCCTTAAAGAACCAACAACTGACATTAATGTTGTGGAAAAATTGGTTGAGGAGAAAGATTATGATGACCTCTCCAAGGAAAGATATGATTTTGTTGACAAAACTGATTGGATAGATGGAAAAAATGAGCGGGGTGAAATTACTGAGGCTAGTTTAGAGGAAGAATTTCTAAATTTGGGCCAAGAACGCATAGAATTGGGGGATGAACAGAAAAGGCTTGAACGTAATGCCGAATCTGTAAGCAGCGAAATGTTTGCAGAATGCCAGGTATGCACTAAGTTTTATATGAATTATTTTGAAATTTGTGAGTAATTGTCAAAAAAATCGATAAGGTGAGTCTGTAAATTTCTTAGTGTAAATGTAAGGTACTCTGTAATGTTTCCAAGTATATAGCATCTGGCATGTTTGTGTAGTGCCTTTCGTCCACTGAAATTTTTTACTGTACATGCTTCCATTTCAACCTAGGATGCACAGATCCTACCAGAAGGGTGTCATGGCAATGTTGGACATGTGTCTGACACTACTAGAAGTATCCTAAATAGTTAAAAAAAAATTTCCAATCGGACACGGTAAGTTACAATGAATTTTTTTTAATTTCACAATTGTTAACTATTAAGAGAAGTGTAGGATTTTTTTATTTTGTTTTTTGTTATGTAACTTATGGACTATGAATATCAATGGATGTAATGGTGTTTGATGAAAATAGTAGATGTTTATTTTTATCTATTTTAATTTTTATGGAAAAATTAATATTGGTTAGGTCTTATTATTAAAATAGTTATTAAATATGCATTGTTTTTAATATATTACAATTTTATTATTATCTAAAAGATATATAACAGTATTTTAATTAGCCATATACTTTTTGTACTCATGTCCTATATTTTGAAACTCTGCCGTGTCTTTGTATCTATATCCGTATCCGTATCCGTATCCGTACTTCCTAGATTTCATCAATTTAATAACTAATAAGAGTTGTTTCATTAACTCCATGTGTATACATATGTTGATATATACAGTGACAATGTTGTGTTACTACTTGAAAACTGAAGACCGTGGATTGTTGTGTGCTTCTTGTCAAGTGCTTACACATCTTTGGGTACATGGGTGTTCTGCCTCTCTCTCTGTTAATATTTGATTCATTGAAGGAAATCTTGTTCTCCATTTCTCTGCTAGTTCCTATTTTTTGGTAGATTTTGTTTTTACCAGTGGGGAAAGATCTAAGTCATGGATCTGGATATATTATTATTGATTTTTTAGGAACTGCTTCAAATGTTTGGCTTACCCTATATCATTGCACCAATGGAAGCCGAAGCTCAATGTGCATACATGGAACTGGCAAATCTGGTTGATGGTGTGGTCACCGATGACTCTGATGTGTTCTTGTTTGGGGCTCAAAGTGTATACAAAAATATATTTGATGATCGCAAATATGTGGAGACATACCTTATGAAGGTTTGTATCTTGAATATATTATATCAAGTATTCTTGTTTATTGTTTTGACGGCAGCAGTACACGGGCAGAAATGTAGATATGGCTTTATATGATTCATCTCATGTTTTTATTCTACTTTATCTCATTAAGCTTTCACAGGAGATCCTTGAGGAAGAATTACCTTGATTCAATCTCTGGCAGTGTGACCTAATATAAAGATATTTTTCCGAATGTGATCCTTTTTTATTTCTTTTCCGCATATGGTTTTTCTTTTAGATTCAGGATAACCTTAGATTTAAACTCTTCTAGAAATGAGGTTTAGTTATATTTCCTTGGGTCTGTTTCTGTTCAGGTTAGATGCACGTGACAGCTTATTTAATGCCTTATACATATTTGTCAGGACATTGAGAATGAGCTCGGCTTAACCCGAGAAAAATTGATTCGTATGGCGCTACTTCTTGGGAGTGATTATACTGAAGGTGTAAGGTAATTTTGAGATGCATGTTTGTCACTGGCTCACTGCTAGTAATCAGGAATGTTGTGATCTTCACAATTGGTGTTTTTCTATGTATTCTGCTCCTGTCTTACAAACACTATGTAAACCTACTCATTTGAAATTGCTGTTCTGTCAGAAAACAATGGTAAATATCTCCGTACAGTTCACTTGTAAAGTTTACATAAATTGATTCTTTGGCCAGTACAGTGGGATTGGCATCGTTAATGCCATTGAAGTCATAAATGCATTTCCTGAAGAAGATGGCCTAAGTTATTTCCGGGAGTGGATTGAGTCGCCGGATCCGACTATTTTAGGAAAGGTTGATTTGCAAGCAGGATCAAGTTCTAAGAGAAGAGTGTCAAAATTTGGTGAGGACGATGTGAGTTGCTCCCACGACAACATAGAAGGAGTTTCTGCATCCAACCAACATGTTTCACAGGCTGATTGCATCCAAAACATGAAGCAGATTTTCATGGATAAGCACGTAATTACACGTTTCAGGCTATTGCTTTTCTTTGATATTTTAATATTGTTTGGTCATGGAAGAATAATTTCCCACTTCTATTTTATAATTGATAAATATAAAATTTCATTCTACAGAGAAATGTGAGCAAAAACTGGCACATTCCTTCTTCTTTTCCAAGCGAAGCAGTGACTTCGGCATATGCTTCTCCACAAGTGGAAAAGTCAACAGAGCCTTTTTCATGGGGAAAACCAGATCTTTTTGTTCTTCGCAAGTGAGTTTTATGTGATTATCTCTTTTCAAACTTCTGGTTAGGGCCAGGGGATATATGGGAATGTCATATCTGGTGGCATATTGTTTTTTTCTTTGTACCAGAATGTATATGCCTTGGAATTAAGAACTACTCTCAATTGTTAGTCATATCAAATTTTCTCAACCTTGTCTAAATAATTATAAGTTGCATAGAGTCAAAATTTATGTAGCCAGTACAACTTTTATAAGTTGTACAGACTTGAGTTTTAGTCCCATCTTTTACACAGCAAGTCCTAAGCATGGGTAAAGAAGGAGGGAGGATTGCGTTAGGTAATTGACAACCAAAGTAAAATTTTGTCAGATCCAATGTGAACACGAATCCAAAGAATAGCCAACCCAAATGGTTTGGTTAAGGCTTGTTTAGTTGAGCATATTTTTTGGTGCAACAGGTGTTTGTAGTAACATTTGCTAAGGAGTGAAATGAAGTGATGAACTTATTGTTGCTAGTTTTGGTTGAGGTTTTAGACCTATTTTTTAGTACACCAATTTAGATTGGCCTTCATGGGTCATATTTGATGTGAACCTTGGTGACTTGGTGAACTTAATCAGTTCTTATGCTGTAATGGTATGGTCAACACATTATATGATGATTTATTATAGATCCAGCAATAAATTGTAGAGTCATAGTTGATACCATTACTGGGCTAGATCAGAATGTTACCCTTGATATGTGGTTAGGTTGTGGTTATATCAGTTAATGTAAGTGTCTGATGTAGTGTTATCAAAATTAGATCGGACCGGTTCAACCGTGACCCAGGACCTAGAACGGTCCGGTTTTGTAGTTAGACCGCATAAGGCATCAAACTGCATAGGAAACGCTAAACCGGCCGGTTTTTGATCAAATCCGTGAACCGAACGGCTGTGCAAACCGGACAGTTGGAATTTCACAGTCGTCTTCCTTTCCCTTTCCCTTGTTACTTGCCTTCTCCACCACAATGATACAAGCACAAATTCTCCATTACCCACACCAATCACGGAGAATTAAGATAGAGATAGAGATCGGGAATTAGAGAGAGAGAAAGAGAGAGAGGGAGAGAGAAAAACAGAGATTTAGAAGTTAGAACCCAATATCCAATTCAAAACTAATCCTTCATCAGGAGCTTGATTGGAGCTTTCATTAGTTGTGGTTGATCGTCCATGCAGCTTTTTTGGAGCTTCTTCAGCTATTCATCAGAGAGCGGGAGAGGGAGAACTCGAGATTGATTGCCTATGGAGGTCCCGAAAAATCAAGCCTTGCATCAACTGTGCTCTGTGTGTGCAAGGGTTTGAGAAAGGGATGGATCATGAATGTGTGTTGGTTAGAAAGAGAGAGATGTGTGGGTTTGATGAATTGAATTAGAGAGAGAAGGAAAAGGGTAAAAAAAGGACAAGACTTACTTTTTTTGGTCAGGGACAAGACTTGTGTTTGGTTTTTTTTTTAACTAGACTTATATTTAGTTTCATGAATTATTATACAATACCAAAAATATCTCTCATGGATCAAAATATAATGAGTGACAAATCTTAAGGACTATAGATGCAATTTATACTATATTTTATAATATTTATATTTTTTTATTACATAACCTGTTCGACCAGTTCACCCAACGGTTGAATCAGTGAACCATTGACTCGGTCTTTCTGCCGGTTCAATGACAGGTCCGGTTTTGATAACATTGGTCTAATGTGGCCCAACCTAGCTCAACATGACCCATTGCTGCCTCTTTGGCTGGTTTTCACCCTATCCCAGCTAATTATGCAGTCAGCTGCAGTCTGCAGTTGAGTCATTCTGACTTGAGATGAAGTCATTCACTGCCCACAAAGCCCTCCCAAAAATGGGCATGCTTTCTTCAGTTTTGGGCTTGACCATGCGCTGGTGATTTTGGGGTTTTTGCTTCATACATGATAATGTAAGTTGCTGACTTTCTGGCATCTTTATTTTATGCAGATTGTGTTGGGAAAAGTTTGGATGGGGTGCCCAGAAAGCTGATGAGTTGCTACTGCCTGTCTTGAAGGAGTACAACAAACATGAGGTCAAACCTATGCCTGTTTTTATGAACCTCAGTGCTCTTATTCGCAATTACTGGCTTATGTCCTTACCATTCTCTGGGGTGACTGGATTCTATCTGTTAATATAATAATGTGTGGGGGTCACAAAACAATGATGATTCTGATATCTTCTTTTGCCTCTTGTTTTTTATTGGATTGATTGAGGAAGACTCAACTGCGGTTGGAAGCATTTTACACTTTCAACGAGAGATTTGCGAAGATTCGTAGTAAGAGGATAAAAAAAGCTGTTAAAGGAATAATGGGGAATGACTCTTTGAAGTCAACCGATGACTCTTTGCCAGATGTTTCTAAAGGTAAAAAGAAAACAAGACCAAGTCCCAGAGAAGCTGGTGGTGAAAAATCCAGAGAGCTAGAGGTTGGTATTGCTGGAGATGAGATGGACTGTAGAGAAATATCAGGTGCAAAGCAATCAAGAAAAAGGAGGGCCGGTGGAGAGCCTTTACCATTAGAGTTTGCAAATTCAGCTCCAACAAATCGGGCAGAAGGCAAGCGAAATACCAAGAATGGATTAAGTGTAAAAGGAAGAGGCAGAGGAAGAGGGAGAGGGCGATCTGTTGGAAGAGGGGGGAGAAAAGAGAATTCTGGATTTGAATGTGCTGAAGCCAATTCTGATGATGGAACCAATAGTGATAGTGAAGAGGAACTGCAACTTGAGAATTACGAAGGGTCACATGAAGTACGAAGAGTAAGTTTTGCTGTTCTTAGTTACTTCATTGGTTATTAAGATATAATACTGCTGTGACTTATGAACAGAAAGAAAGAGGCTATATTACTTTTGTGGTAGGGATACATAAGATAATATGCAATGCAAGAAGACTTAATTGGTTACTGCAAGCTAAAATCTAAAGTTGTAGATGTCTTTTTTTGTTCGTGCCTTCTCAAGCGCACTTGGTTTGCTTTCGATTATGAAGATTAAGATGCAATTAGTTGGGTTTTGGTTGGTGTCTGGGTGATTTATTCCAACTGAAGTGCTGGTGAGGTGAGAGACATTGGCTTTTTGATATTATGTTTTTTTGGTTGATAGTAATTGTTTTTAGATTTGACAAGGAGTATTTTTTTTGTTAAGGAGTCCGAAAGTAGGCCAAATTGACTTTGACTTCACCTTGGGTTGATTGGCTACTGTTTCTACTTGCGAACCCGCCTTATCAAGGTTGCTTCCATAATGGTGTTTGGTATCATATCTACTGTGGGGTTGTTCCAAGGAGAGTATTGTTGATGGCATGGTATGGATGAAATCATGCCTGTTGTCGAGTATTCTCCTTGTTGGGACAATGATATGATGAACACCATACACCATTCAAGTACTTATATGAGCTTCTAAATTTTTTTCTCGGCATCTGCCATTATCATGGATGAATCTGTGAATAAGCGTTATATTTGGAGAGAAGTTCATATATAAGCATTTTATTTTGAGAGAAGTTCATATATTAACCAAATTTGTTGTTTTCCCGTCAATTTGGTTGACTCTAACTATCCTCTTGTGTTGTTTTTCCAGTCAACACGTCCGCGGAAGACTGTGAACTACAAACTGTCTGACTTAGAAACCGATGGATTAGGCAAAACAGTTATGGACAATGGAACTTGCACTGATAAGGAGGCAGAGGAAGAAGAGGCTTTTGAAGACCAGGGGATGATCGTTGGAGATGCTGTTGCTGGCCCCAGCCAAAAAACCTGTCATAAAGTTGGAGGTTCTCCAACAAAGGAGGGCTTGTCCAGGGACTACCTTGAAGCGGGAGGTGGATTCTGCATAGATGAGGCTAAACAAAACATTGACAATGGTGAACTAGGTTCGGGTCACAATTCTGATACTCTTTCTGAGGCAGAATTATCAAGAGAATACCATAAAATGGGCGGTGGATTTTGCTTGGATGAGAATGAAGTGGGTAAGGACCCAAATGAATTTTCTTCCAGCCCAGCAAGATTGAATATCTTTGAGAATGTTGATCCTATCCATCACCTTGTTGTGGAAGAAGCTGAAAATGAGATTGGTAAATTGGTTACTAGTCCGGTAAGAGTAGTTTTAAATGGATGTCAAGGTGGAGGGAAGACAGGCGCCCCTAATGCTACAACCAATAGCGTTCATTCCAATGTAGCTATCTCTCAATTTAATATTAGAGAAGCTGATTCTGGGACAAGCTCAGTAAGATCTCTAAGTGCAATGCCGAATCTCAGAAGAAAGCGAAGGAATCGTTGAACTACTAATTTTTGTGATTTTTTTGTGGAGTTATTTATGAATTTTTTTCTCCACCTCTCTTGGGCAAATGGGATATTTTTCAAGTTTGCATGTGTTCTAAACAGCGTTGGTTTATCTTTTTCCATTTTTAGGAGGAAGATAGGGGTTTGTATTTGCATTGTAAATACCAGCAGACAGAAGAAAGAACTGAGATATCAGAAATTGTACCAATTATTTACTATGAGGGACCGAAGTTGCAGATCACCTTTTTTTTTTATGTGATAAGAGACAGAAAGTGACGTGCAATTGACCCATTGGATGTTTCATCTGGGTATTGTTGAAAAAGGGTTCTATAGGGACACTGTTGGGTGACCAAAATTGCCAAAATGTGTGATGTCAATCATCAGTGAATGATTCTTTTTCCAGGAGGACAAAAACGTTTGTAAATTTCTCTCTCTCTCTCTCTCTGCGTGTAGTTGGAGAAGCAGAAGTACGAGGTGAAGGTGGCCACTCAGACAGTATGGGGTGGTGGTCCTGTGTTAGGAGTGCCATTCCCTTGGCAGCAATGGTAACAGTGGAGTGCACTGACGTGGGATTGTCAACAATAACCAAAGCAGCCATGACAGAAGGGATGAGCAGCTTCGTGTTTGTTGTTTACAATAATGCTCTCGGCACCATCATCCTTCTCCCCTTTGTTGTTGTCAGGTATATTCATCCTAGATTTTGATTAACATTTTCTTGATCTCCACTTTTTACAGAATTTTTTTGGTTCTAAAGCTGTACTCTCCTGCTTGCAGAAGGGGAGGAGCTCCTCTGACTCTCTCTCTGCTTAGTAGATTCTTCCTCATCGGTTTAATTGGGTAACACTGGAAAGAACTATTCATGCCCACACACCGACACATGCATACTGATTACTGTTCCTGATGTGAATCAATATTGGCATCCCTCTCTTGAGTGAATTCTATGTTACTTAAATAAAGAATATTTGCTCTAAATGAATTTCGCTTGCAGGAGTGTGGCACAGATGCTTTCATTTTCTGGTCTCAACTACAGTTCTCCAACTCTTTCATCTGCATTGGGCAATCTTATTCCCATATTTACATTTCTCCTTGCAATCATATTCAGGTGGGAGGTAGATTGATTAATACTCTGAATATTTTATTACTAGTGGTGTTTGTTTGGTCTTTATTTTACTGGTTTGCTTTTCCATTGAATATGCTGTTTGCTATTGACATGATGATGCACCTATATTTAACCTGATTGGATGGTTATTAAAATATATTTTTGTCTTCATTTACCGTTGTATTTTTTTTTATTATAATTTGACTCTAGTGCAATGCAGGAATCCATTCTTTTGTTTGTTATAGTTAGACTCTAAGCTACTTTTTGTTTCAATTGATCAATACATTACTGGGAAATGATCAAAAAGACACTTTTGTGGCAATATTTGCATTTTTAGAATCTGGATCAGTTGAGTACTTCCCAAAGTGCCAAAAGAATACAACAGTAGAAGGGAAAGGAAAAAAGTAAAGAATATTTACTAGCCCTAACAATGCTAGACACGACCTGCGAACCAAACTCGAAATCGATACAGGATTTGCAGGTTTGGTACCCGACTATAAATGTCACGGTTAGAGGTTGAACAAATTTTAACACGACATTAACCTGACATGGCACCACTCATTATCAGCACTATTACCAACATTGAATGGATAGATGTTGATTTTTGTTATTGCCCTCCTGATGAGGATATGTTTTCCAGGATGGAAAAACTGGATCTAAGAGGCTCAGGCGGTCTAGCTGTCTCTTTGGGTGCTGTGGTAGCAGTGTCAGGGGCATTCATAGTCACCCTCTACAAGGGTCCACAAATCCTGATGGTTTCTTCCCCTTCTAATTTTGCTCATCATCATCTCTATTCACAAGTATCGAACTGGGTCCTTGGAGGCATTTTTCTCTCAATGACTTCCATTCTAACTGCAATCTGGAACATCTTAATGGTAAATATAGCCACCTATGGTACAAATTGGAGCACATGACCCTTGGTAGCACATACCCCACCGAACCCAAGTGTTTTGGGAATGGGAACATTCATTAAATTTGAATCGGTTTTGGTAAAATTGAATAATAAGCACTTCCTTAGGTACTTGTATTCAAATTTTCAAGCCGTGGAAAGCAACAGATATAAGGTTGGCAAAAAGTCATTTTTTTTGATCCGTCGTGGTCATTTAACTTGACCATGGACATTTTACTGTATTGGCAATAAAAGTGTATTAGGTCTGGATTTCATAATTTAACTATGACTATAATTTGTATTTCATGTTCAGGCAGCAACTGTGAAGGATTTCGCAGAAAAAATCACAATCGTGTTTTTCTTCTGCTTTTTTTCAACCATCATAGGTTCAATTTTCACTCTTATCGCGGAACAAAATCTAAATGCATGGACCTTGAGGCTTGACATGGAGATGATTGCTATTGTCTATGCAGTGAGGAATCTTTTCTTTTTGTTTCGATTGGTCTCATCTGTTGTGTTTGGATTGGGGTCAAAATTGTTATAAGATGGATGCGCTTTGTCAAATTTTATTTTTTGATGCTGCATCCTCCCTACTTTTCTGAACCAATTTTTAGTAACTTCTATGCTCATTCCAATTTCCATTCAACAGTCGTGTAGATTGACAACTTGCAAACTTGGTTTCTTTATTTTCTTTTATTAGTATTTGACAAAACTTGAAAGGAGTTTGCATATCACATTTAATAACAGGCCTATATTCTTGAACCAATTTGTGTGTACGGGGTTTTGTTTTTTTTTTTTTTGGGGGGGGGGGGGGGGGGGGGGTGGTTAAGTAATACTGTGGTTTTATTGTTCTCATACGTTTTGCCACTTTGCAGCTCTAGATGGAAAGATTTAACATATTCATTTAATTTTAGGCAATATTTGGGGGAGTTTTCCGCAATGGTATTCATACCTGGTGCTTCCAGGAGAAAGGGCCCGTGTTCGTAGCCATGTTCAGGCCCTTGGGGATAGCAATTGCAGTGTTCATGGGCGTCGCATTCCTTGGTGATACCCTTTATCTTGGCAGGTATGTATTAGAGAACCCAAATTTAATGCAACATAGCTCTTAGACGCACGTGCACACACACACGGAAAATTAGAAACTAAGTAGGCGAGAGTGCAGCAGCCGTGTGCAGAAGCATGATTTTCTAGTGAGATTTACTCTTCATCTTCTTATATTGCTGATCCTAAAGGTCCATATAATATGTATGCAGAATACTTGGGTCAATTATAATTGTTGTTGGATTTTACGCTGTACTGTGGGGAAAGGCGAACGAATTGAGCTTGAATGATGATAATGTTGTCGAGGGCTTGGAATCATGCTCACAGAAGACCCCTTTTTTAGAGAACAATTCTCAGGGAGAAATTTAGAGATGAGCTTCTTATATCATCCGTATAAATGAACTGATGCGAAAATGTTCAAGGTATCAATTATCTCTGGAGAGAACGATACACGCATAACTTGCACAATCATACCATTCAGTGTCATATGATTTCATCCTCTACCCTTGAAATTATTTCCCTCTTTCTTCCCTACTGCTCTCTCTCTCTCCCTCCTCTTTTAATTCCTCTTTTTTCCATCTAATAGACAGACTTTGGAAGGGCGAAGGATGGAAAAAAGAGATAGAAGAGGAGAAATATTATTAAAATCTTTTTGAGTTAGGTTATGAGAGATAAATCCCTTAGTTTAGGTGGGCATAAATTAGTTCAGGTATTTTTGAACCGTTGAACTAAAAAAAAAAATTCGAAGACAGGATATTATTTTAAAAAATAATCCTATAATTGCAAAAGATGTTATTAGTCGTCTGATCTTCACTGTGATTGGTTCGATATTAATATTGATTGATTTAACATTGGCGCCACGGTTGGGTATTGTTGTTTTTTGGAATGTGCCCTCCAAATATTTATTGTGATTACCAGATTTTTGTGCTTTAATTTGTATTTTTGGTTGATCACGGATTTAGAGGTGTTCATGGGCCGGGTCGAGCCTGGGTAATGCAGGTCCAAGTTCTTATTCAAGTGAGTTATCGGACGGACTGAGCTTCGAGTAGGGGTAGACTTCCTGCAGGCTAACTATCGAGTATATTGGGCTGGCTTGCTCATGGGTTTTTTTATACACAATTTTATTTAAAAATAATAAATATTTTTGTAATTTAACATTTGTATAAATTATATTTTTGAATAAAAAAGTCATAATGGATAAAAATTAATTTTATTTTTAGGATTCTTTGGAAGTCGGTACACATAATTAGACTTATTTGACAAAAAAAAACATAAAACAAAATGTGAGTTAAAAAGTAATAAATGTCTATTTTAGAGTCATTTAATTCAAAATCTCTTATCTTTAATGCACATTAATTCATGTGTGTTTGTTAATACATATAAATACGTATTTAATTTATCTTGATTCATGTGTATTTGTTAATATATATATATATATTTGTTGTTAAATAGCTTATTTAAATTTTGAATTATCTTAAATGCACTTTGATTCATGCGTATTTTTTTTTAAAGTGATTTNATATGTATATACGAATATATATATTTGTTGTTAAATCTCTTATTTAAATTTTGAATTATCTTAAATGCACTTTGATTCATGCGTATTTTTTTTTAAAGTGATTTTGTTTTCAAATTATATTTAATGAACCTTGATTCAAATGTTTTTTTTTTGGAAAATAATTTTATTTTTAAATTAATTTAATATCTGAATAATATAATAGTATAATAATAACAGTGTAACAAAAACACTGTAACAAAGACAGTGTAACAAATACACTGTAACAAAAACAGTGTTAAGTAATTTTGTGTATATGGTAATAAATTAAAAACGGAGATGAACTATTTGAATGAAATTATGTGTTTAACAAAATGTAATAGTACAATATTTTGTGTAAATAATTTGTTACACTATTATTGTTATACTGTTACATTGTTAGTGTTACACTGTTATACTTTTATTGTTACACTGTTATTGTTACATTATTATACTATTCGGATATTAAATTAATTTGAAAATAAAACCACTTTAGAAAAAAAAATGCATGAAACAAANTCTCTCTCTCTCTCTCTCTGCGTGTAGTTGGAGAAGCAGAAGTACGAGGTGAAGGTGGCCACTCAGACAGTATGGGGTGGTGGTCCTGTGTTAGGAGTGCCATTCCCTTGGCAGCAATGGTAACAGTGGAGTGCACTGACGTGGGATTGTCAACAATAACCAAAGCAGCCATGACAGAAGGGATGAGCAGCTTCGTGTTTGTTGTTTACAATAATGCTCTCGGCACCATCATCCTTCTCCCCTTTGTTGTTGTCAGGTATATTCATCCTAGATTTTGATTAACATTTTCTTGATCTCCACTTTTTACAGAATTTTTTTGGTTCTAAAGCTGTACTCTCCTGCTTGCAGAAGGGGAGGAGCTCCTCTGACTCTCTCTCTGCTTAGTAGATTCTTCCTCATCGGTTTAATTGGGTAACACTGGAAAGAACTATTCATGCCCACACACCGACACATGCATACTGATTACTGTTCCTGATGTGAATCAATATTGGCATCCCTCTCTTGAGTGAATTCTATGTTACTTAAATAAAGAATATTTGCTCTAAATGAATTTCGCTTGCAGGAGTGTGGCACAGATGCTTTCATTTTCTGGTCTCAACTACAGTTCTCCAACTCTTTCATCTGCATTGGGCAATCTTATTCCCATATTTACATTTCTCCTTGCAATCATATTCAGGTGGGAGGTAGATTGATTAATACTCTGAATATTTTATTACTAGTGGTGTTTGTTTGGTCTTTATTTTACTGGTTTGCTTTTCCATTGAATATGCTGTTTGCTATTGACATGATGATGCACCTATATTTAACCTGATTGGATGGTTATTAAAATATATTTTTGTCTTCATTTACCGTTGTATTTTTTTTTATTATAATTTGACTCTAGTGCAATGCAGGAATCCATTCTTTTGTTTGTTATAGTTAGACTCTAAGCTACTTTTTGTTTCAATTGATCAATACATTACTGGGAAATGATCAAAAAGACACTTTTGTGGCAATATTTGCATTTTTAGAATCTGGATCAGTTGAGTACTTCCCAAAGTGCCAAAAGAATACAACAGTAGAAGGGAAAGGAAAAAAGTAAAGAATATTTACTAGCCCTAACAATGCTAGACACGACCTGCGAACCAAACTCGAAATCGATACAGGATTTGCAGGTTTGGTACCCGACTATAAATGTCACGGTTAGAGGTTGAACAAATTTTAACACGACATTAACCTGACATGGCACCACTCATTATCAGCACTATTACCAACATTGAATGGATAGATGTTGATTTTTGTTATTGCCCTCCTGATGAGGATATGTTTTCCAGGATGGAAAAACTGGATCTAAGAGGCTCAGGCGGTCTAGCTGTCTCTTTGGGTGCTGTGGTAGCAGTGTCAGGGGCATTCATAGTCACCCTCTACAAGGGTCCACAAATCCTGATGGTTTCTTCCCCTTCTAATTTTGCTCATCATCATCTCTATTCACAAGTATCGAACTGGGTCCTTGGAGGCATTTTTCTCTCAATGACTTCCATTCTAACTGCAATCTGGAACATCTTAATGGTAAATATAGCCACCTATGGTACAAATTGGAGCACATGACCCTTGGTAGCACATACCCCACCGAACCCAAGTGTTTTGGGAATGGGAACATTCATTAAATTTGAATCGGTTTTGGTAAAATTGAATAATAAGCACTTCCTTAGGTACTTGTATTCAAATTTTCAAGCCGTGGAAAGCAACAGATATAAGGTTGGCAAAAAGTCATTTTTTTTGATCCGTCGTGGTCATTTAACTTGACCATGGACATTTTACTGTATTGGCAATAAAAGTGTATTAGGTCTGGATTTCATAATTTAACTATGACTATAATTTGTATTTCATGTTCAGGCAGCAACTGTGAAGGATTTCGCAGAAAAAATCACAATCGTGTTTTTCTTCTGCTTTTTTTCAACCATCATAGGTTCAATTTTCACTCTTATCGCGGAACAAAATCTAAATGCATGGACCTTGAGGCTTGACATGGAGATGATTGCTATTGTCTATGCAGTGAGGAATCTTTTCTTTTTGTTTCGATTGGTCTCATCTGTTGTGTTTGGATTGGGGTCAAAATTGTTATAAGATGGATGCGCTTTGTCAAATTTTATTTTTTGATGCTGCATCCTCCCTACTTTTCTGAACCAATTTTTAGTAACTTCTATGCTCATTCCAATTTCCATTCAACAGTCGTGTAGATTGACAACTTGCAAACTTGGTTTCTTTATTTTCTTTTATTAGTATTTGACAAAACTTGAAAGGAGTTTGCATATCACATTTAATAACAGGCCTATATTCTTGAACCAATTTGTGTGTACGGGGTTTTGTTTTTTTTTTTTTTGGGGGGGGGGGGGGGGTGGTTAAGTAATACTGTGGTTTTATTGTTCTCATACGTTTTGCCACTTTGCAGCTCTAGATGGAAAGATTTAACATATTCATTTAATTTTAGGCAATATTTGGGGGAGTTTTCCGCAATGGTATTCATACCTGGTGCTTCCAGGAGAAAGGGCCCGTGTTCGTAGCCATGTTCAGGCCCTTGGGGATAGCAATTGCAGTGTTCATGGGCGTCGCATTCCTTGGTGATACCCTTTATCTTGGCAGGTATGTATTAGAGAACCCAAATTTAATGCAACATAGCTCTTAGACGCACGTGCACACACACACGGAAAATTAGAAACTAAGTAGGCGAGAGTGCAGCAGCCGTGTGCAGAAGCATGATTTTCTAGTGAGATTTACTCTTCATCTTCTTATATTGCTGATCCTAAAGGTCCATATAATATGTATGCAGAATACTTGGGTCAATTATAATTGTTGTTGGATTTTACGCTGTACTGTGGGGAAAGGCGAACGAATTGAGCTTGAATGATGATAATGTTGTCGAGGGCTTGGAATCATGCTCACAGAAGACCCCTTTTTTAGAGAACAATTCTCAGGGAGAAATTTAGAGATGAGCTTCTTATATCATCCGTATAAATGAACTGATGCGAAAATGTTCAAGGTATCAATTATCTCTGGAGAGAACGATACACGCATAACTTGCACAATCATACCATTCAGTGTCATATGATTTCATCCTCTACCCTTGAAATTATTTCCCTCTTTCTTCCCTACTGCTCTCTCTCTCTCCCTCCTCTTTTAATTCCTCTTTTTTCCATCTAATAGACAGACTTTGGAAGGGCGAAGGATGGAAAAAAGAGATAGAAGAGGAGAAATATTATTAAAATCTTTTTGAGTTAGGTTATGAGAGATAAATCCCTTAGTTTAGGTGGGCATAAATTAGTTCAGGTATTTTTGAACCGTTGAACTAAAAAAAAAAATTCGAAGACAGGATATTATTTTAAAAAATAATCCTATAATTGCAAAAGATGTTATTAGTCGTCTGATCTTCACTGTGATTGGTTCGATATTAATATTGATTGATTTAACATTGGCGCCACGGTTGGGTATTGTTGTTTTTTGGAATGTGCCCTCCAAATATTTATTGTGATTACCAGATTTTTGTGCTTTAATTTGTATTTTTGGTTGATCACGGATTTAGAGGTGTTCATGGGCCGGGTCGAGCCTGGGTAATGCAGGTCCAAGTTCTTATTCAAGTGAGTTATCGGACGGACTGAGCTTCGAGTAGGGGTAGACTTCCTGCAGGCTAACTATCGAGTATATTGGGCTGGCTTGCTCATGGGTTTTTTTATACACAATTTTATTTAAAAATAATAAATATTTTTGTAATTTAACATTTGTATAAATTATATTTTTGAATAAAAAAGTCATAATGGATAAAAATTAATTTTATTTTTAGGATTCTTTGGAAGTCGGTACACATAATTAGACTTATTTGACAAAAAAAAACATAAAACAAAATGTGAGTTAAAAAGTAATAAATGTCTATTTTAGAGTCATTTAATTCAAAATCTCTTATCTTTAATGCACATTAATTCATGTGTGTTTGTTAATACATATAAATACGTATTTAATTTATCTTGATTCATGTGTATTTGTTAATATATATATATATATTTGTTGTTAAATAGCTTATTTAAATTTTGAATTATCTTAAATGCACTTTGATTCATGCGTATTTTTTTTTAAAGTGATTTTGTTTTCAAATTATATTTAATGAACCTTGATTCAAATGTTTTTTTTTTGGAAAATAATTTTATTTTTAAATTAATTTAATATCTGAATAATATAATAGTATAATAATAACAGTGTAACAAAAACACTGTAACAAAGACAGTGTAACAAATACACTGTAACAAAAACAGTGTTAAGTAATTTTGTGTATATGGTAATAAATTAAAAACGGAGATGAACTATTTGAATGAAATTATGTGTTTAACAAAATGTAATAGTACAATATTTTGTGTAAATAATTTGTTACACTATTATTGTTATACTGTTACATTGTTAGTGTTACACTGTTATACTTTTATTGTTACACTGTTATTGTTACATTATTATACTATTCGGATATTAAATTAATTTGAAAATAAAACCACTTTAGAAAAAAAAATGCATGAAACAAAGTGCATTAAAAGATAATTCAAAATTTAGATAAGAGATTTAATAACAAGTATATATATATATATATATAAACGTGTATATATAAATATATATATTAAAGTTTTCCTATAAAACTAGGAGATGTTTAATACACCACTTTTCAAAGAAAAGTGGTGCATTAAATACACATGGAGGGTAAAAATGTCACAATAAAAATAAATAAATTCAAATTATGTATTTGNTGCTTGCAGAAGGGGAGGAGCTCCTCTGACTCTCTCTCTGCTTAGTAGATTCTTCCTCATCGGTTTAATTGGGTAACACTGGAAAGAACTATTCATGCCCACACACCGACACATGCATACTGATTACTGTTCCTGATGTGAATCAATATTGGCATCCCTCTCTTGAGTGAATTCTATGTTACTTAAATAAAGAATATTTGCTCTAAATGAATTTCGCTTGCAGGAGTGTGGCACAGATGCTTTCATTTTCTGGTCTCAACTACAGTTCTCCAACTCTTTCATCTGCATTGGGCAATCTTATTCCCATATTTACATTTCTCCTTGCAATCATATTCAGGTGGGAGGTAGATTGATTAATACTCTGAATATTTTATTACTAGTGGTGTTTGTTTGGTCTTTATTTTACTGGTTTGCTTTTCCATTGAATATGCTGTTTGCTATTGACATGATGATGCACCTATATTTAACCTGATTGGATGGTTATTAAAATATATTTTTGTCTTCATTTACCGTTGTATTTTTTTTTATTATAATTTGACTCTAGTGCAATGCAGGAATCCATTCTTTTGTTTGTTATAGTTAGACTCTAAGCTACTTTTTGTTTCAATTGATCAATACATTACTGGGAAATGATCAAAAAGACACTTTTGTGGCAATATTTGCATTTTTAGAATCTGGATCAGTTGAGTACTTCCCAAAGTGCCAAAAGAATACAACAGTAGAAGGGAAAGGAAAAAAGAAAAAA